AAGAAGCTGAGAAAGATATAGAAAAATTTTCAAAATATATGAAGCAACAGTAAATACTGTTAATTACCGGAAAAGTGACAGGGCTTTGCATGGAGAATACCAAATGCCAACGGGTTCTTGGTACTTTTTGTACGCAATTTGAAGAAGCTTATGTAAGCCAAGCGGGGCATCAACATCGTCCGCAAATAATGCCAATATGTTCTTATATTCTTCATCTGACGTGACTTCCGCTTGTGCTTGACTTTTTGAAAAACGCCACTCTGTAATAAATTAAGCAAGGACATTACCCAGACCAACCTAGCTGGGTAGATTGGACGCAAAAGGGAGACCAAAGCTGCTTTTTACCGTACCTTTAGCTGAACCAGCTTTCTTTACGGAGACATAGCATTTATACTCAAACATTCTTTTTTAAACAATCTTCAGAAATAAAATAATTTTTGAAGTTACTCTAAAAAGAGGTGAAAAGAAGAAAGAAGCCTAATGATACTAAAATTTTAGTATTATTATATTCCTTATGAAGCAATATCTTCTTTACGCCGATATCTACAGAGTACACAAAACGCTTTGCTCGCAAGTAATCCCCAAAAATATCCTCAATTCTCAAATAGTTCCTTCTTCTCCTTCTTGTACCTAAATGCTTTTCAGAATATTTAGTGGTTTCAACGTTTCGGACAAAGTGAAATTCTATAAAGGAAGCATTTGGAAAACGACAGCACCTAGTTTGCAACCGTCCACGTACTTTTCGTGATCAAATTAATTGTCAAAAAGCACTCAGACTTAGCAGAAAAAACTCAGATGCTATGCTAATTAACTGCAATTAAAATTCGCAGAAGATATTTTAAATTTCTATGGGATAATACAAAAAAGTTACTCAAGGATTGCGATAACCTCAACCTAAGAGTATGCAATTTATACACGTGCTAACTACACCCTGTTCAGCAAAAGTTCTTCGACCACAAGAGTAACTTTTGAACTTCTCTTATTTTTAAATCTTTTTTTAGATAAACTACTACCCTCAATAAATAAGATATATAGGCACTGAGTAAATGTTAATTTAGCACTTATATGTCTACAGGAAATGAGCTTTAAAAAAAGTTGTCTAGCTGATAAATCTAATTAACATTTTAGCCACTCGCCTCTTCCTAGATTAAGTAGAATAAGAGTTTCAGCAACCATCATCTGACAAGATCTGAGCATACATCCCCAACCACAATCGGTTGTTTCTGTCGTACCAGGCAGAGATGGTAAACACGTCCGATACGTTAACCAAATACAACTATAGTAATCCAGGAAAAATTCCCGCAATTCACTGCTGCGAAAACCGTCTATAACTTGGCCTACAATAGGGTTACAAATATTCAAGGTGATTTTTTTAATTGAAAAATAAGTCAAAAACTTCCTAATTGCTTCCTAACTAGAAGATCATCCCGCACAATCAAGAAAACATCTCAGAAATTGTCGTAGCTACACTCAAATTCATTTTTAACTCCCCTTTCGGTTTTCATCCAAAATAAAAAATTCGTTCCTCGACAAGAAACTAGCAAGGCTTCAATTGTTTCACACCACCTTAATCAGTCTAGAAAGTTACGTAATATAAGCCAAACACACCCATTATCTTTAGGAATCTTCGTCAAAAGCTCTTCTCAATCGTAGAACAAAACGCAAAAATTTGCATTAAATCCCCAAAAAAACAGGCTTAATTCTAAAGAACTGACAACCACCGTGTAATGCGACTTAATTTATAAAAACTAAATCGCCCTGTCTTGTAAAACCACAAGCAAATCCCTCCTTTCTCTTGCAGTTATCAATGGTGTACAACTATATTTCCACATTAGTACTCATCATTTCTCTTCTTCCCAGAAAACTTATATGGATTCTCTTCACAACAATTTTATTCTCATTCAATTATCAGAAATATTGGATGTTTCAAGAGTCTGAACCGCTTGATATGCACTTCTTAAGCTTTGAACTAAAGTAAAAACCAATTGGTTTCCGAAAAACCAGCTCATACTTAAGAAACAATCCATAAATGTTTAAATGGTCAAATCAATAAATGCGGGTAAACTATCATGACGTGAATGAAAAACTTTACTTTCCAAAAACTTGCACTTCTCGTTTTTTATTTTCCCATGTATTTTTCCCAAATGCTTTCTCAGAGCGCATTAATCCAAAAAGTTAGAGAGTAACTTGTTGAAACGAAATGGCCTTTCTACGACCTAGCCAAAACTTTCATTTTCTAACTAAAACTAAAAAGCGCATGTCAGGCAAAATTCAAAATGCAATGAATTATCATGGAACCCTTCAGACACCCAAGAAGCCTGAAACGTAGATGGTGGAAGTGCTCCTTCACGGTGGATCTGCGTGAATATCCCAACAAGCAGAATAAAATTGATTACCAACACAATAACAAAACTATCTACCACTTGCAGAAGCAAGAGAAAGCACAGCCTAGCTGAAGATTCCATTAAGCAACAAAACTTGTGACGGACGAGAATGACAAGAACCTAAGCAGTTCTAATAAATAATAATGAAGTGAAATGAGAGGCTGAAAGGAATCAGCGTAATGTTTAAAGTGCGAAACTGTAAGATGAACATAAGTAAAAATTGTAGTATCTTAAAATTCATTTAGTGACTTATATTAACAGTGCCTCACTCAGTAAGAGCAGCAGAAGGTCTCGATTTGAGTGTAAAAACGGAGTCTTTTTACAGGAACAAAATGTAACACCTGTAGAACATTTCAAAAAAATGTAAAGGATAAGGAAATCAGATGAAGAAAAATCAGAAAACTGCAAAATGTATTTTCGAGAGTCACCTCACCGGAATCACTTGACATCAAAAAGATGCAAACAAAAATTTACTTTACAAAATCCATTCAGTTTTGCGCCTTTAAAAGTAAAACAAATGCTCCAGAAGAAATCAATCAAAATCTCATTCGGGTCCAGAAAAGTAGTCCTGCCTAAAAATAAACTTTAATTGAACTGCACGTAATTCGAACGCAAAAACCGCATAACCGTATCACTTGAAACGCAGAATTTAGTAATAAAATGGCTACTCTGATGTCAAACCAACAGATGTTTGTTTTAAGCAGTTTTTTGAGAAGTATTGAAATAAAAATGAGGTCACGATTCGAAAACTTGAAGAGGCAAGTAAGTTAGGGAAGAATAAACTCACAAATGACGTCTAGTACGGCTTTACCACAAATAACAGTGGTCAGAACAGATTTGAACTAAGAGCCCCAGACTTTTTAGCTTTCAAAAGACCAAGCTAGTGCAAACAAAGACGAAATGTATCAGCATAAAAAATGTTTTTGAAAAGATTTCTAACAAACATGCTTATGAGGCGAATAAAAAAAAAATTGAGATTTACTAACCAAACAGATTTATAGGAACCACAGATAAATCTCATCACTTTTTCATAACTAATTACACTGTGCTACTTCTGCGTTACCACACCACGCGAAATTATAAAGATACTGGGAATTTTAGAAAAAGATTACTAGAAAATGGGAAAACCTGAGAGCGAGATTTACGAGTAAAACAAAAAACATCGATTCACTAAAGGCTCCTAAGCATAAACTGATTAGGCAGCCAAAATGAAACAGCAATTGATCTGATGTAGAAAGTAACCGCAAACAGAAATAAACTTCCTTTCCTTCAAAAGTCACTGATAACTAAATAAAAATAGTTTGAATAAAGTTTCTAACAGAAGGATTTGCATCATATTTACTAGAGAGCTTGAACCTCTTTCAGCCACCTGATGACGCTGAATGTTTCTTAAAAGATCATTAATAAATAAAGCAGTGGGGACCAAAACTATGACATCTCTGAGCAAATCATTGTCAGAGACGAACATTCACCAAGAATATTTGAAAAACTTCTGATTTAACCAGTCTATATTCACGTGCAAAAAACTAAAAGAGATAGGGAGGCTCCCCGTAAGAGAAACAGCGCTTAAGTGAAAAAGCTTAATGACTGTACCAATTGAAAAGTGATTACTTATCCTTGATTTCAATCAAAATATTTACTAAAAAAACTAAAATACGTTTTTAAGACTTCTGGACAACGAAGCGTGGATTACAGTTAATAAATTGAAAGCATTATTTGAGAAACATATAGGACAAACAATTCTCTTACAAAACTCTCTCGTCTTCATCAAGAGGATGTTCTTCAACTCGTTGAAAACGAACCGTGCGACTAACTAGCTCAAGCGCTATTTAGAACTTGTCCCCTAACAAAAACTCAGTTCAAAAAAAAAATAATAAGTAATAAACTGAAAGACCAAATGAAGAAGTTGCTGTAAATACATTATCAATGTGCTGGAAAAAGTCTCAGAAAAAAAAAACCGAAAAACTTCGGAGAATCAACATTACTGACAACAGCAGTCTAGTCGAGTTGACGAAAAGATGAGCACCAAACAGAATAAGCAAAACTACAAAATTATAAAGTATTCCTTCTCTACCTAGCTTTCTAGTAGTAAATGATACGAACTAAATGTATTAAATACTGAAGTATATGTAAACCAATGATTTACCTTCCAATCCTCCATAAATACGCCCGAGGAAACAAAGTTCTGCGTTCTCACTGAAATTGGACGTACCTCTTAAGCGCCAAGTACCGTACTTAAAAGAGAGCCAGGCACTGCCCAGTTTTCCCTTGACTGTCGGTTCTATACTGCATCCTCGGCATTCACGTGACCTTTCCGAGACATTTTCACTTCTCAAAGCATGTTTTGAATGCAGAAAGTTGTCCAATTCTTTTCTTGCTCTAAAAGTTTACGCGATCGAACAAGGAATGACAAAGATATCATCGGTCAGTAATCCACTCAATAAATTTTTAATTACAAAAATATCACTTTGAAAACTTTGCAGTGGCGACGCGTGATACACTGGTAACAAGCGAAAGTAACGGATTTTGAGACCCTTCCGCGGGTAAATTATTGGAACTAGCCTTAGCGACAGCCAGCTTTCCAACATCACTGAACAAATGATCCTCCATTAACAGTAGCAGATACAAGAAAATGGAGAATAAAACAACATCTGCACTGTAATTTTAACATTTAAACTGTAAAATAAACTTCACTTTCTCAGTTTTCTAACTTTTAAGAAAATAAAAAATCACCGAATCAAACAACAAGTACATGAAATATTAATGTCACGAACTACACCACTAACGAAAATATGGCTGAACCATCACACAACACTCTTAAAGTGTTACTTGATAAAAGAATATTTAATCAAACGATACTCGCGTAGAGTTTTTTCCGACTATATCAATCTGGTCCTCGAAAACCACCTTTAACAGGCTGAAGATGTAAAGGTCTGAGACACGAGAGTATTAAGGAAAACTGCGCATGCTTGGGGTTTAAAAATCTGGTTCGGAGCAATACAAATGCTAATTTTTTTTACACAGTTCTGCATATGCAAAAACCAATTATCCCTATACGAGAAAAGGAAGAATGATGACCATATGCAAGGTTCTACGTAACTGCCACAGAAAGCAACTGAGATTTAACAAATAAAGCCCCCTCCCCCCCCCCAAAAAAAAAAAGCTGGAACAGTGCCAAAAAGTGCAACTTCTGTCCAATTTCCGGTGCCCAAATAATTTTGCAACATGTACCATGCGCTTCCATCAAATTGTAAAGCTACCCCCTCCTCATGCTTTATACATCAAACTACCTGTGAAGAAAAAGAACATTGAACACAGTGAATGCAACGCTTGCAGTTGTAAAAGAACTTGAAAGCAAGTAAATTACGACTTAAAAACTGGAACTTGGGCATATGATGAAAATGTCACAATAAAATGAAGCAAAACAATCATCCACGAAATGAAGCACTGTGAAGCAACAAACCAGAACCGCGTCCAGCTGCAAAACAATCCGCCTGAATTTCTGCGTTTGGAAGTAGCCCAAAAACACTTCTTGCTGAGACAAAGGTCAATGGTGTCACTCTGTGTAGCATATGTCTATATATATAGAAAACAGCCCTACCTTACACATAAGTTACTACTAGTAATCGCTCATCATAGGAAGGGCTTAAGGAAGCCAGAAAACGAACTCCTACACTTTGTAAGAAAATATAACTGCAAATGGTAGCCGCAACGGGCAGAAAGGGGCAGAAAAATCAAGGGTAGAAAAAATGAAATTCTTTAGATTTTACAAAAATGCGAATTAAATGTTCACCATCCTTGTTTAGCATTGTTAAACTCCTTCAATACCCAGGTCACACAAGGTAGGTTTCCACTCTAATCTTCGCTGACAACCATGAAACACCGCATCAGTTGTACTACGCAGTCTAAAACAAATAAAAAAGCCTACGTGCCTCTTTGATAGAAAACTGCATTTTGGTCAGTGTATTCTTCAGAATCTTAAAGCCTACACCGGTAATCCTTAAAGTAATTGTTGAATTACAAGAAACATGGCACTAAAACTGAAGAAGATCATATAACTGTCCACTTACCTACCTCCCCTTGAGTAGAGAGCTTCGGGCACGATTTTGCTTCATTGGTGACAACGCAGAGCAAATGACAGTTACTTTCGTGATGAAAAAATCTGCAAAAAAGTTTAAAAAATAACAAGTACCAAAAAATTAGGAAAATCGGAAGAGCAAAAAATAATAACGGGGACTAAAAAGATTATCAGAAAAACATTAACTAGCTGTGCGTCGTGAATGTAAGATACCTCACTGAATGTTTCGTCTCTTCCAAGCAAAGGCATGCATAGAAATTTACTGCGCTCGAGATTATTGCTCTAACGGCTTAGAAGTGCCAGAAACAAAAAAGAAGTTCTCTACTAAAGACCAAATAAGGACAGGTAATGTAAGGAAAGTAGAAATGAATACTTATCCAAAATAAAAAGAAAGTATAAGCTGAATCCACTCGGAATCAACGTGGACC